AATATTAATGCTCTATGATGATAACACAGAAATGCATTAGATCCGCATGTGTACTCTCATCAACCGACATTATTAAATCACGTATCGAATCGTCTAGTGATGTAATCTGTTTCGAACAGTGAAAACAGCAACTCTTTCTCTCTTATTTCTATCAAAAGTTATTCGCAATCAAAGACTTCAAACTACATTATATATTCGATAGAACTTACAATCATTTTTTTGTCTTTCTACTTGATATTGACATTCAAGTTCAATATGATCAATAACAGAAAGAAGTGCATCAAGTGAAAGTATATGTGTTGATGTTAAACCAGCAACAGGAAATGCATTTTTTGATAACATTTTAGTTAATTCTTCAAATAAATTTGATAAATATAAATCACAATCGTAATTTAAATATAATTCAGCTGATAAACCAGGTATACGAAGAAGTTGAACAATTGTTTCAAGTGCAATTTCTTTTTGTTCATAGGTTACTTTTGATTGTTCAGAAACAATTAATTCCATTAAACGTATTAAAAAAAACTATTAAAAATATATATAGATTAAAAGATAAAATATTAATATTAATAATAAATTTCATACTTCAAATTGATATTTAAGATGTGTTCTTAAACTTTCAAAAATAAGAAATGAAACTCGAAGTGAAGCAGAAAATAATTGTATACGATTACAATTTAACATCTTAAAAAAAAAACAAAATCAATTATTATTTATAATAAATATAAAATCTTTTTCTTTTATTCTTAACTTACACTTAATAAATTTCGACATAATGAATCTTTAACAATTGAGAGTAATAATGGAAAATTAGCAATATGATCTGCACCAACTTCTAATGCAACTGTTAAAAGATTAAGACCAACTGTCATCATATATTCAGTATTATTTCTATTTAACGGCAAAAAGAAAAAAATGAAATATATCTTAAAGAATAAAACTAACTTATCATAATTATTGATAAGAGTAGTTAAAAATCGAAATAAACCACGAACACAAGGCCAACCATAAGGTGATAATGGTTCTGAAAATGAATTAAATAGATAATTATTTATTTTTTTTTTTGTCACAAATCCTTTCAGATTAGATCTCTTTTTAGGATCTATTTAAAAATAATCGACATACAAAAGTCGTTCAATAGAAAAATAAACACCTCGAGATGCGAAATGTTTCAATGCGACGGACAAAAAAAACTAATGATTAGACAAATGTATCGTTATGTATATTTGTGTAAAATCAATATAAAAATCTTCGATTTGATTTAAATTCTTTTTAAAGGATGTTTATTTTGAAAATTCTTTTATTGTGAATAAATATAAGAATATTCTTTCAGATCACACCTAATTAAATTTGATTAATTAATTAAAATGTAATTAGCAAATAATTCTCACCTTAAGAGAGAGAGAAAATTTCAAAACCTTCAGGATAGATACTACGTGATGAAATATATCTATAGTTACATTTGAAAAGCAGTTTTCTCAGAGATCTGCTCATGTTCTAGAGCGACATGTTTTTGTTTTTGCTATCATCGAGAGATCCTACAAAAAAACATTTTGAATTACTCTTTGAAATTCTCGTTTAAACTACAAGATTTTTGTTTGCTATATTCATATACAATCATGTCACTAACAATCAGTATATTGAAAAAAATCAACATGTTCAGAAGAAAAAAAAACTTGCATCGAGATTTTGTAGTTTAAAGTTTTTCTTTTTTTACAGAGGTACAACAGTAGTAGATTTAGAAAGGAAGGAACTTCGGCCTATCTTTGGAAAATTTTCGATTTTCTCCCATCAAAATCCAGAAGAGTAAAATTATGTTAGTTCAAATAGTTTTCGACATAAGGATTTTTTCCACAAATATCATTCTTCTTTGGTAAACTGATTTTTCTTTTTCACTCATTGAAAACTATACTCACTATTGAGTCATAGATTTTTTCTTCCCACGACAATTATTTTTGAATAAAAATCTCAAGTTTATCTACCTTTAACTGGTCCACTAGTAGTTGGTGTTGTCGTTGATGTTGTAAATCTAATACCTCTTGGATTAATATATTCATTATTATTTGTTGATGTTTGTGTTTCTGTTTGTGATGATGAACTATCTATTTCTTGTGATTGTTGTTCATTTTCAACTGTTGTTGTTATTTCATTTGCATCAATAATTCTTGATGGTGATTCATCAAATGAAGGAACTATTATTGGTAAAATTGATTCTGAAGATGAATTATCTGTTGTTGTAGATTCCGTATCATTATTAATTGTTTCAATATCTGTAGGTGCTGATGGAGGAATTTCATGAGTAGCATTTTCAATTGCTGTTGGACGTTCATTATCATCAATTGGAGATGACTACAGTAAAAAGAAATTATTTTTTGAAAGGAAAATAAAAAAAATCATACATAAGTTAAATTTCTTTCTGATGAAGATGATGTTGATTCTAAAATACACGGGTAAAAAAAAATGAAATAAAAACTAGTTGATAACAAAAAAAAAAAAACTAATTTAACCATTTATTTGAGATTCATTAATCTGTTCTTTTTTTATTGATGATGAACTAACTCGTTGAGATCGACGTCGATTATTCGTTGTATCAGTTGTTCCTGTCGTTGTTATACCTCGTGTATGAAGCTAAAATAAAATTATATTACATAAGAAAGAAATAAAAACTTCAAATTGTCTTACTCGTTTTGTTAATGTTGAAGATGTTGTATCATCTTTAAATTGTGGTAATCGAGCAAATAATAATTGAACCATATCAATTAAAACATGTTCTGATGTTTTGCGTAATAATTCTAAGAAAAACAACAAATTATTTGTTCGAGAGAAAAAAAACATAACAACTAATACCTGATAATCTTGTTTCGAAACAAATACGAAAACATGATTGAAGAATTTCACATACACTATCATTTGTTATTTTTGCTCCAGCTGGACTCAATAATAAAGAACGAAGAACCTAAATTAACGAAACAAAAGATTATTTTCAATAAAAAAATTTTAATGAATTTACTTGTAAAATTCTCATTAAAACAACTTCATCATTATTTGGATTTGTTCCAACAAAACGTGTATGTGTTACAGCATTGGCAACTTTATCAATAGCTGATGATGCTGATTCACTTTGAGTATCTGTTAATTAGAAAAAATTTTCTTTTGAGGAAAAAAAAAAAGAAAATGTCAAACTAAATCTATACCAATAAGACCATAGGAGAGAAATTTATTAACAGCATTTAATGCCAAACATGTTATTGGACCAGATGTTTCATCAGAACGAATTATATCAAGAAATGGTGTTAAAAATGTATTTGAATCAATATCTTGAAGATCTAAATTAATTTATTTAATTAAAAACTGCTTTTGTTTTCTTTTTCTATTAATATGTTTTGTTTTTACCTGATACAGAATTAAGAATTGTTTTTAGTTTTTGAAACGAATTCATTTCAGGAGATTCCTAAGAAAAATTTATTTTTAAAAGAAAATATAAAGATTTATTGAATTACTTCATAGGAATGTGTTGTTGACCATCGAAGACTATTCTTTCTTGATGATGTCAATGCTTGAATTTCACCCAAAATAATATATATAGCATTTTTGGGTGCCTCAAATGACGACGACATCTTTGAAAAATGATGAGATAAATAAATAGAAAGGCTCTTTTTTTCCAAGAATCAATCCAAATATGAGAAGAAAATCGATCAAACAATTGATTTAATTTAGAGTAAAGGAGATCATCAATCTACATGCTAATCCATATTTTACCCTGAAAGATGATTCAATTCAAAACCAATGAAAGGATTTGTTTTTGGATGTCCTTAGTTACCATTGAAAGTTTATTATGATTCAGTAAAAAGCTTCATCCCTAGATTTTCCGTTTGTGCTAAATGAATGAATAGATTTAGTAGAAGATATGAGTTTAATTTAAATAATGCTAGAAGAAAAATATGATTGTTGTCATGAATATAGTCGAAAATCAATTCATTTTACTGCCACGTTGCAGTATTTTACATTTTGACACGTTGCATTTTTATAATTTACCTTGTATTCAGAAAGCTTATATAATGACAAAGCACTATTTAATGGAAATCAAAACATCAGTGAAACTAGCAGCTTCGTGCATATTTATTAGACTTGTTAACATTTTTAAATACAAAAAAATAATGGTATTTTGTAGGATATTAAAATAACACTGACTTTTGTCGTTATCAAACTGTTCGACTAGAGTAGAAGAAAATTTTGTACGACAGTCAGTTAAATAAAAAGTTTTCGCGTTTATCATCAAAAACAAAATTCATTCCGATGGAATTTCACTAAACAAGAATCAACTTGCTTTTGTTCCGATGTCAAGTATTCTATCGAATGAATCATGCTTGTTTCTGACACACGTGTATAGGTAAATGACGTGTGAGTTGTTTTTTTCTTCAATCTTATGTCTACCTCTGATACAATTGTGCGCATGTCACATGACGGTGACAAAACTAAATACACATTGCATTAGGCATGTGGTGAAGCATTCGATATTTGTGTTGAATGTTTGTCGTTAAATAGAAAATATTTCTCACGTATTTATACTTCAAATGGCGTATCCTCATCATCTAGAAGATCTTCCCGATGAGATATTGATTGAAATATGTCGCTACTTAAGTTCTTTCGATATACTTTACTCGTTTGGTCGTCTGAATTCCCGTCTTCAACGTACAATTACCGAATTTTTTTTCCGATTAGATATTTCTGATTTGTCCTTGAATCAATTTCAATACTTGTGTTCGTCTTCTTGCTTGGCCTTCATTGGAGAACGTCTTACCAAGTTATCACTTAGCAATGCATGTGCAACTGGTCAAATTGAACTTTTTGGCAAGAATCTTGACAATGATAGTTTCAAAGGTACATTGCCTCACTTAAAATCGATTATACTCGATGAATTTGCTAATAACGATGTGAAAATTTTGCCTAAATTGCTTTATCTCGAAGAATTGACTATTCACTTTAGTTCTTACGAAAAAATGACTAGTACAACCGAATCGCTATTCAATTTATATATATTTTCTACGCCAAATAATTTTCGCAAAGTTAAACTTATTGTCGATGAAGGCCTTCAATTTAAAACACAAGTCAGTCCAAATACATGTTTGGAAGATCTTGAAATTGAAATCGCTACTCTGCAAGACTTGTCAATGCTTTTCGCACTTGCACCCTATCTAATTCGTCTAGAAGCATGCATTGTACGTAATACACCACAAGAGTTCATTCCTCAATTTCGAATGAACATTATACCTCAAGTACTGAAAGAATTTTATATACAAACAATAGGACATCAAGTAATTCCGTTTCAAAGCCTACTACGACCACTTCTTTGTAATATTCCATCAATTGAATATGTTTCCGTCAGCGTGAAAAGTGACGATCCTGATTATGCAGACGCGCGTCTTTGGGCAGATGTGGTCGCTGCCATGCCATCTCTGAAAACATTTCTTTTGGGTCTTGAAATAGAAATAACATTAGATCTGTTTAATCGTTACAGTGATAATGGAGATGCTGAACTCAAATCACTTGTTTTTAAATCTTTTGCAGAAAATTTCGACTTGTCTTCGTCCTTTCGTATATATACAAACAACGCAACATTGTTTATTGATAGTGTTCCTTATCAATACACTCGCGAACAAAGCTATAATACATCTCCAGAAGCTGTTCACGGCCTTTGTACTAATCCGACACATCTAGAACAGCCACCTCACAACATTGTAGGACTCACAATGAACGGCGAACATATTCCAATAACGAAAAACGATTATCTTGAAGTTATTCGTCATTTTTCTTCTATCACATGGCTTTCTCTTAGTTCGGTAAATGTTTATGATCAGGAGAACGAAACCACTGAAGTACTTCCAACCTCATTGAAACTCAAGAATCTCAAGTCATTATTTTATTTTCGTTCGACAGAATGCAAAGTGAACAGAATACTTTTTGATCAACTCTTCTATGGACATAAACGGCTTGAAATACTCAAAATGATGTACGGCGATTTAATCTATCTTCTACGTACAACATCACCTTCAATAGATGGCAATCATATTAAAAATTTAGAATTGTATTGTCATGGAGCGGATGGAACTGTTCATTTGAAGGATTTATATTATTTGACTTTGACATTTCCGCAACTCGAATGTCTAAGTATTCAAGTTTCATCGAGTAATTTGATTAAGAAAAATCAAATAGAAATAATTGAAGAGCTGATCAAGTCGTTTAGACGACTTCGTTCATTTCGGGTCAACTGCACGAAAGGTACTTTGAAATTAGCTCGATCACTTATGAAAAATGATCAAGCCAAATTCGAATGGCTTTCTCGTATTAATGCTATCGGTTCACATTTAATACTTGAACCTAAAGCTATAGCAATTTGGAAGAGTGTTGATGTAAATATCAAAATCTAACTATTGCAACCATTCATTATTCTTAAACACGAATCTGTTCCTTTTGTGACGATCCTATGAATTAATTTACCTATGTAATTAGTAAAAGAAACTAAAAGTAAACTAAGATTAACGAAGCTGCTTTAGAGTAAAAGCTTTTCAGATTGTTGTATATCGTTGAATTTAGTCACAAGAGGTAAAAACAATCTAAGCCGAAATACTTTAGAAAATTGCTTTCACACTTCGATACGTTCTTTTCAGAAACTTTTTGATGTCATTGTGTACAATATGCACGTTGCGTGTATTAAACATTGCTCTGAATTGGACGTTACTTTTTCTATAAGGAACATTCTAAAAAGTTTATCGCCAACCCTTTAGATCAATATTCAATGGCTAGTTTTAGTGTTTTGTTTGTCAATATATCGCTTGTATGCGACAAATTGTAGATCGTCAGTTAAATCGATTTTTATATCATATTTTGTAAGGCCAGTTATGATTTGTTATAACGTGTACTTAAATACAGCTTTGTATTGTTCGTGATCGAATATAATCTCATGTAGTTGATATCTAGGTTTTGAAAGTTAAAAAAAGTCTTATGAGATTAGATGTGATGAATACACTAGATTTCTACATGTTTTCATATGGTCTTCTGTGAGAAATTCGAAGATTTTCAAGGTTTTCATCGTGTTTCAATTTAATTAGGAAAAATGGAGACTTGAAAGATTGTCCTTTATTTTTCTGTTGATTCAGTTTAAAAATTTGCACTAGACAGCTTTTGACAATCAAACATCTGTTTACTAGATTCTAATAACATGAACTTGATTAAACTAGATGTGCTGAAAAAATTTGTTTGTCGAACCTCTTGTTTCGGTGAATATCAGCAGTTCGTGAACGATTTTCTAACGCTCGAATTTTTGACTTATTGATTAGATTTCTATGATTATGATAAAACTATGAGCTATCACTAATGATGATGTAGAATAACAAATAGGCATCGATCTTTCCATTTCCATTCTGAAAATACACTTGTTGGGCACTAAACTTTGTCGAACTTTATATTCAGAAGACTACTCGAAATAATTATTAACGAAATGATTGTCAATATGTCCTCTATTCATTCGTAAGTTCAATGAGAATCACTTTCAAATGTTACTAGGAGAGTAGTAAATGTTATATCGGCTATAATAGCTGGAGAGAGATCCGAATGCAGTACATATTTAGTGCTGAAGTTATTCTGCTGAAACCAATGAAACCAATTGATTAGTGCAGGCGCGACTATTCGCGTATGCTAAGCTAATTTGCTGGTCGCCTAAAACCATTATTTCAAAATTTTGTTTTGAGCATTCGAAATCCATTTGAAAATTACTCAATCACTAATCTTCAAGAAATTTAAAAATGTAACGAACGTAGCAGCCTGTGAATCTAAAATTTTGCGCATATTCATAAATATGTCTAATCATAACTATAGATTGCTATGTTTTTGAGATGGTCAAAAAATAAATACGATGTGTTTTGTAAAAGTTGATCGAAATTTTGAGATGATTACAAAATGAGTTGTTAGCATGATTTGAAATACATCTGATTATTCATCTTATTATTATTGAAATAAATCCTTGAATCACTTATAAGGTTATAAAACTATATAAGTAATCGAAACTATCTGCTAGATCTGAACATATTTCAACATTGGATTTTGATCGAAGATAAACTTTCATAAGAGAAATGAGAGAGTGATTCGAAAAACTGAAACAGTACTATGAATCATGTTATCTATCTAATATAAAGAAATTTAGCTCTTTTATTAATTGATCCTTGTTATTTTATTTTGTTTCAAATCACATCCTTCAAACTTTTTTTCTAGTGCACAAAATATGCACGAAGCCATTCTAGAATATTGATTTGCATCTACTTATTAGATAGCAGTGCAAATGTAATCAACTTTTTCCTTTTTCATTTTGTATCGAAATATTGCAACTCATATATAATACAAGAAAAAAAAACACTCATTCATTCAGTAACAAGAAGAATTGACTTTCTGGTTAGTAAAAACTACTGATTTTAATAATGACAGACGGTCATGTATCAAGAATAAGACTAGATGCCAAAAAATTATCTCATTATGATCAATCGTTTGAACAGCATGTGAGTTCTCTGGTAATTTTTTTTTTCTTTTCTCTCATTATTGTTTTGATTTAGTGTTCATCATCATTTGAACTGAATCCTCGAATTACTTCGGTTGTTCATATTTCTGTTAGACCAACTAGTACTACCCGTCTGCCTTTAGATAAGAAAGACAAAAAGCGTATCAATCCTGTATGTAAATCTACCATTATTCTGTAATTATTTTTATTTTCTATTTAAATAGAAATCAGCAACTCTAACAACTCATCAAAGTCGTAATAGATTTGAAAATTCAATTAAAAAAGAAAATTTATTCAAACGATCATTAAGTGCAACATCTTCTGTTAGTGTGACTAGAGTTCGTCGTCCATTATCACAGGTTAACTTGAATAAAGACTTACCATAAAGAGTGTCTCATTAATTCGAAGTTTCAATGAAAATTAGTTTATATACAAACAAAGAATGTTCTCTAAGGTGTCGGTATAGAAGATAACCATACCCACACCCTAGATACTACATATCGCTTTGTATATTTGTGCTACGTTACTTACCATAAATTCTTAGTCCATTAAAACTTCTATTAAGGCACAGAACTTATGCGATATCCTTCATTATTACTCAAATTTTTATTGAAATAATCTATCATCTGGAAAATAGAGATGTTACTGAGGTTTAGGATAAACAATAATCATAAGAAAAAACAATAAAAATAATGTTATTCAAACCCATTGTATTACTATGCATTCAAAAAATAAAAGAAATCGGATCACGCCTCATTCTATGATGATTTCAAACAATCAACAAGTAAATATTGATTTCATCAATCCCAAGTATATAGTTTTTTTAATGGCTTCTTCAATCAAAACTATAACTCGAGGTTGACACAGTCACTCAGTAGAATTAGCAGTCTCGCAAGCAGAGTATGTGTGGAGGATTGTACTTTCCTTCTCAAGATTATCGAAAATTTTTAGTGTTTTCCTACGATAAGAGCAAATTTTGTCTATAATATACGTTCTTCATGCGAGATTTTCGTAACAAATACTGTATATATTTAATTCAATCTTTGGTCTGTCACGTGGCTATGATTGAGTAGAAATGAAATTAGTGAAAAATATAGTTATAAAATTCAATATTTTTTTGTAATAGTTTCGTCAAAAGTCATGGAAATCTACTGATGATTTAAATCAAAAATTTAATTATGTGAATAATTACGAAATAGATTCAACTATCAAACAACATTGTTATACAACAGCCAAAGTAACAGATTATCAAATAACTAAAAAAAAGAAATCCTTTATATTTTGAAATCTGCAAATTTTTGTCTAGAATACTATTACCAATAGAACAAATTCAACAAATTCTATTAAAAATAAAGAAGTAAAAAATAAAATTTAGGATTTTTCTCTTTATATTCAATATTCTTATGAATGTAGTTATTTGGAACGGTAGAAGATCTAACAAATCCTACACATCAATCTCATCAATCATCAAAAAATAAAAAGATAAAGTAAGTACAAACGACAGCATATTTATTGTATAGTTTTCAACATATAATATAGAAAATGGTTAGAATATTGTTGCCGATGTTCACGACGACGGGCATGTGCATCTGTATTTTGTCTTATTCTTCTTGGTATAATTATCACTATTATTCTTCTACTAAACAAATCAAAAACAACAGCTATTAAACCTTGTAAATGTTTTTTCCATTAGAAAAATCTGAAAAAAAGTTTTTGTTCTTTTTCTGAAATTCAACAAAGAATCATCATTGAAATTTTCTCATATTTTTGTCTGTAGCTCTTATAGCCATTCTTCGTTGGAATACTACTGGTATAACATTATTTGGTACTACAGGCATCAGAGGAAATACATCTGAACAATTTTCCAGTCCTTTTGGTTTAGCATTTGATTCATTCGAGAAACTCTATATCGGTGATAGATATAATAATCGAATTCAAAAATGTGATATCAGAGAATTAACTTGTACGACAATAGCTGGTCAAGCAAATGCAGTACGAGGAACTAATATGAGTGATTTGAATGGACCTACTTATGTTTATATTGATTCAAATGATAATTTATATATAGCAGATTCTGATAATTATCGTGTTCAATTTTGGAGTTATGGTGCATCTTATGGTACGACAATCGCTGGAATTACAGGTAGAAAAAAAAGAAATTATTTTACCATTTCATAATTTTGATATTTTCTTTAACAACAAAACATATTCAAAAATATAGAAAATAATATTATTTATTTTCATTAAAATAATTTCTAACGTTATTTGTTGTCATATTATTTTAGGTTCTTCAGGTTCTACATTAAATAAATTTAGTATTCCCTATGGCGTTACATTAGATTCCAATTCAAATGCAGTATATATCGCAGATTTTAATAATCATCGTGTTATGAAATACTTATCAAGCAGTTCATCAGGTACTATTGCTGCTGGTGGAAATGGCTTCGGAACAAATAATACGAAATTATATCGTCCTGCTGGTCTCTATTTCGATTCATCAACCAACAGTCTTATCATTGCTAATTTTGGTGCAAGTAATATTGTTCGTTGGGTTTTAGGTGATAATAAATGGACAATAGTTGAAGGTGATGTTAATGGATTGAATGGTAATACATCAACATTGCTGGATCATCCTACAGGTTTCACATTTGATCCCATGGGTAATATGTATGTAGCTGATATGTTTAATCATCGGATACAAATGTATCCAGTTGATCAAACAAATGGTACTACAATTGCTGGTATATCAGGCCAAGTTGGCAATAATTCAACTATGCTTAATTATCCTGTTTCGGTAATCCTTGATAATCAACTTAATTTATATGTTAGTGATTCATTTAATCATCGAATACAAAAATTTGTCCGCTATTAAATTTCATATTGTTGTTTCTTTTTCTTAGGTTTAATAAAAGTTTTCTTTTTTTGATTTTTTTCAAAAATTATTTATTATTGAAATAAAAAAAAAGAAAAGGAATACTAATATTGATATGATGATCAAGCAAATTTGTTTTTTTTTTTTGGTATTGTTTTTATCGATTAAGTATAAAATAAATGATAGTTGACTTTTTGACACTTAATCCGTCTCTCCTTACTTTTTTTTTCTGGACTTTCATCATTTGATTCGACTAGTTATAAGTCAGCAGGATTAAAAAAAACGTAGCAGGTGTATAGAATCACATACCAACAGCAAAAAAAAAAGAAATTTCAATATTGCTATTGTGCGTATACCGATGAAAAGAGAAAAAGAATAAGAATGTTTGGGTCTATCGTAGTCGAACAGCCTTATGCATATATTATTCTACTTGGCATTACTTCATTAACAATTATATTATGTATAATTACTTGTATCTATATTTTTACTAATCGTAAACGTAAACAACAATCAAATGTTGCTCTGGCAAATAAACGTTTACTTTATTCATCACCAGCATCAATAACACCACAAATACCAACAAAAGCAACAGATCGGTTTGTTTTTCCATTGCCAAAATTACAAAATACAGAAGCATCACCAAAAATAATTCGTGAAACATTACCACAATTTTCTATTGATGAAATGCCATCAAATTATAAAACATTTGATTTAGGTAAACGATATCAAAGACATTTATCATCAGATTCATCATATACAAGTTCAACTAATCGTCGTTCATATCCTCCACCAACATTTTCATTTGATACAGTTAAATCAAAAATTCAACAAATTGATCGTCGTTTAACATCATCACCAATTTTAAATCGTCCACTCGAAGCAATTACTTCGGACCAAACTCCAACAGAATATTTATCCGATTCTGATGAACAAGATACTGAATCATTGGCAACAACAGCAACACCTTCATTTGAATATTCACTTTTAGATTTATTTCGTATTGATATTGTTTATAAATTACATTATTCAATTGATGATAGTCAACTATTATTTCAATTAATACGTTTAGTTTCTACACAACCATTAATTGAACGTTGTTTTCCATCATTACTTTGTAAAATTCGTTTATATACAAATAATGATAAACGTAAAAATAAAAAATATTTTTCAAAAAAAGATCCAATTGATGAAATATTTAAATTTGATATGGATCAATATACATTAGAACAAAGTTATTTAAAAATACATGTATTAGGACATCATAAAAATGATAAACGTTTAGAATTAGGTCATACTATTCTTGTACTTAATCAATATGATAATTTAATGATACGAGCTGGACATCATCATGAGGGTGGATTAGCAGCAAGTGAACAGCATACAAAATCTATTCCAATAAATGAAGATCGAATTGATATGATAACTCAACAACAGGTCAATTAAATTTATTTTACTTACTATTTTTTTTCTTTATTCTAATGTTTTTGTTTTTGTCTTGTTCTATTAAGGTACCATTTGAAAATGAAGCTCGTGCATTAATTTCTTTGGTTTATGAAAATGATCGATGTTTACTTCATGTTGGTGTAATAAAAATAATTGGTATTCAATGTTTACTTAAACAACCAATTGGTCATTCTCATCATCGTGGTAAATTTATTTAATTGATTAATGCTTTCTTTTTTATTTGTTTTCCATTGAATTTTTTTTTAGATCTAATTCAAATAAAAATTTGTACAATGGTTGATGGAAAAATAACAACAAAAAAAAAATCAAAAGCAATTCTAATAGAAAAAAATCTTTTTACATTTAGTACATCATTTCATTTTGAGTATCTTGCACTTCATAAAACATCTGTACGTATAACAATATGTTATCGTAAAACATTAATGACTTCTCAAAATAAACCAATATCATTCATGGAATTTGGTTCAACACAATTAAAAAATCAACAAGTTTTTCAACATTGGACAGATACATTATCAGAACCTAATCGACCACATATTCAGTGGCATACACTTCCATCGATTGATACAATTAATGGGAAATAAAATTTACTCTTTTTTTTATATATTTAACTTTTTTTTTTTTTGTTTTGAAAAATATACAAGAAAAATAAAGAAAAGAATATATTGCAACGAAATTTTTTAATATTTTATTTCTCTCGTTTCATTGACGATTCCGATTGTTGTTCAGTTGTATCATCCATTTTTGTTTGTGTATTGCTTGATGTTGATGAAACAGTTGTAGATGTTGATTGAACTTGTGCTATGTTATTGGATGTTTCATCTATATTTTCGTCTTTGATTTCTATTAAAATAAATTTGTTTTTGTTTATATGTTGATAAAGAAATGAATTTTACTTTTATGAGTTATTGGATCTGATCCATAACAATCAACCTCAATCTCGAATAGCTGAGGTATAACTCGTTGCAAGTTCTAAAAAGATAAACAATAATTCATACTTTTTTATTGTATCTTTTTGATTGTGAACATTTTTTATTTCTTATTTGAACGAATCGAAATATTTACATTGTAGAATTTAATTTATCTTTCTGCTACAAAGGTATTCATATATGTCAAATGACATTGCAATCGATTAGACTTACATGAATGAATACACTTGAATCTCTGAAACATCATAAAGTATATCTACACTCTAAGAAAAATTATGTTAAGAAACCTGCAAAGGTTTGTTTGCGCGGATACAAACTCAGAACATTTTATTGGTTTTGTATGAAAAGTATAAAATGCTCTTTACTCTACGAATCTTCCAAAAACTCTTTCAGTTTTCGCACAGAACTTTTTTGCTTCTGTTATGAAATCATAAAAAGTTCCGACATTGCATCTACGCAAAAATGCTTTTTAATTTCCGTAACAGAATGTTTTTTCTTTTAGAGGATAAAAGAAGTAAAAGAAAAGCATTAATCATATTGAGCGAGTTTTTTCAGAGTCACATCAATGACAATTAACAGTATACTACTAATGGTTTAACAATGGAGATTGTATTTTTCTTTTTTATAGGAATTTATTTAATATAATTGATCAAAATAATCTATATTATAACTAAAGATACTACATTACCAGTAATAAGTAACAAGGTAATGCGACGCAAACGTCGTCGACCCACTACTGAAAGGATGTGATGCTGCAGAGATTGGAGTATTTAAGCAGGGAAATACAATAACTATTGTGTTCGTACACATACAGGCTAAGGGCTATTTAAAAAACAACTTCTATCCAATTTTTGGATGGAGCACATCAAATTGGATTTGGGAAAAAATTTCCGATTTTTCTAAAATTTTTGTATGGGAGAAATCGGTGAAGACTATCATATATAAGGATGATAAAAAAATGATCCTAAATGCTGACCTGTACAAATTCTTCTCTACTCTGCGACACATTATATTCTTGGATCGAGCTCTTTCCTTCTCAATTGACATTGAACTTAGACAAACAATAGAACCTTTCGTAAATAAGGTGAAGTTTCTGTTGTTTTTCTAAATTCAATGTTTCGTGAGAAAAGTCAAAAAACATTAACCAAGAAATGTAATGTTTTATAAAGCGAGAAAAAGTTCATATCAGTCAGTATTTGACTTCAATTTTCTCACTCCACTCCAGGACAACCGTAACAATTCTTTCGCATACAGAAAAATTTTAGGGAAACAAGTGAAATCATCAGCAGCAAAACTGAAGGAATTCAATAGATGAGACTTGATTGTGAAAAACATTGGATAACGTTTTTCTTCAATTATTTAGAAAATTGATGTTTTACTACTGTTCTTTTTGCGTTTTAAGCTATAAACAACGACACATTATCCACCATATTATTTCTTTCCACTTGCTTCGTGGTTTCTCTTTCAACTCTAACTCATCTTTGTATAAATAGTCGATTCAAATAAAAATCTCATGGATACATTAGTCACAAAGAAAAGTTACTAGTGACAATCAACTCTAAATTTTACATTAAAGACGCAGTACATAACTTCAAAACAGTTTCACACATACTTTGCCTGTGGCGTATATCAAACTTCGTCTCAAGTTACAGTATCGACAACATACGTTCTTAGATCAAGTTGTTAGAAACTCAAATTTTCCTAATTCACTATCTTCTTCACCAAAATGAGTTAGAAAGGATACGAGTCGGATTCGATCTAGCATTGGATAATAACGTTTTCTGAAAAAAAACTAGAAAGCGTTGGAACTTATTGAAAATGTCACCCATCGCATGCAAACGCTAGCAAATCTTTCACTCTATTTCCCAAGTTTTCGATTCACCTCAGATTGTTTGCAAAGTGTTCACTTAATTCAACGACTCTACAAAGTTTCAGCGCAAATAACTCCAGAAAGAAAAAGCTTTCGACACGAAAAAAACAAAACAGAACTTTAAAAAAATCAGTCACAAATTTGAATTACTCGACCCAAAAACCATTCGATCAAACTCTATAAAAAATAAATTTATTCCTAAAAGTTCATTTTTTTACCAAAGAAAGTTGAATACAAAATTTTAAAAAACTAACAACAAACTTGAACTCATTGACCCCAAAAACCTTTGGTCAAAGTTTATAAAAAAATCAATTTTTTGTAAAAAAAAGTTCTTTTTTGTCAAAAAAGAATTTAGGCAAAATTTCAAAAAACTAACAACGGATTCGAGCTCTCCGACCCTGATTACCTTCGGTCGATCTTTATGAGGGATGTCCGTCGAAGAGATTAAAAAACATGTTTTTGATCCGTGCGAACGAACGAACATAACTCGCTTTGCGTAATACCCTCCTTTCAGTAGAGGGAATAATAACAAAAAAGGCAATGGAGTACTATACAAACAAGATAGTAGAAATATTTCTAATCATTGATTGTATTTCTTCTGTTACACGAAAGCATTATAACAATGTTAGATTTCACTTCTCGCACATAGATTGATCTCAATATTTATGCATTATTTACAGAATTAATATAGTCAATTGAATTGTGCAAATCACGAATGGTTGAAATATTACTTCTCTATAGTATAGAACGTTAATTTAATCGTGTAATTAAGACTTTTTAAACGTACACCAAAACTTCATTTCCAAAAACAAACAAATAAATACATCCTATCTATAGTTGATACTCTAATACATTCATTAGCTCATTATAAGTTTTAGGTCCAGCGCAGTTCAGCTCTTAAAAAAACACAAATTGATCATACCTTTGTTATGCACTCATACTTTCCTTGTTCTTCCTAGATATGACATAACGTGCTTATTCTTTTACGACAATAATTATTTTTTACTCATTGCTACTTCTCAGCGCATTACAAATTACTCTTGAAAATAATTTGAAATAAAGTAACAAGAAATTACTTCATTTTTTTCTTATAACAAACAGTAAAAATAAAGTAAATAATGATAAAAAGTAAAAAAGTAATAAGGTTAATAATAATTATTGTCAACTACTGAGTAATAATAAAAAGCATTGATAATTTAAAATTCTTAATTATTAAACTAAAAATATTTAAATTTTAAATTGCAATTATTCTTGTTATTTTCGTACTTGAAACAAAAATCTTTTTATTCTATTTTCTCTAATGTGGATCGACTTTGCTCATAAATTGTATGCTTTTTTTTGTCTCCTATCTTGATTCTACTGTATAAATATTTTCTTGTAAGTAACACAAACAATATTCACCATCAAAATATAATCATTTCTTCTATGTTGATTTCTCTGTAGAAATCTATGCCGATTTATTTCTTCATTACTACTCTAACGAACGTTTATAACTTTAGATTTTAAAAAATAAACATTAACTTACATCACTAATATCATGCATATGTAGTGGGTTCATGTTTATGTTGTGAAAATTTTACAAATTTTATTGAATAATGAAATAATGTGTCGATAATTTACCATATTCTTCCACAAAGTACAAATGCGTAGATTTTATATAGTGAGGTTAAAAATAGTTATATATTCTTCTTTCTTTTTCTTTTTCTCATTGCAGCCTTCATCGTGTGGAATTTAAAAATCTTCATCCTTTGCGTTCACTATTCTATGTGTGTTCTTGTTCTTGTGCACGGATGACGAAGAGTACTCGTTGACATCCAATATAACGTAGGATGCAAAAGTAATTGCACAAAATGTTGATCTCTATTTCTCTTCGATAGACAAGTGCTGAAAGAAAAATATTGTTTATCAAAAGATAGAGCTTTTTCTCCTCTTTCGAATCGTATATAATTTATTTTTATAACACGTTTGTAAATCGAATAACACAATAAAAAAGAGAGACACCTTCAAAATATATCCGCACTTTCTGTGAAATTTAGAAAAATAGCGGAAAATGTTGGTTCCTATATTTCTTGGATAACTCTTCAATAAACATGTTTTGAAAATAAAGTTTTGTTTTCAGTTGATAGGAAATTTTCTCCACTTTCGAACGGTGTATGTTTTATATTCATCACACATTCATGAGTGAAATGAGACAAAGAAGAAAGACAAACATTGGCGCAATAAATTTGCAACTTTTATTTGAATTCTTCAAAAACATCTTGCTAGACAATAATTAGTTTGATCTTTCCGTGCTCATTAAAAAGTCCTTGTAAAACTGTAGTCACTTGGCCTTTTATGAACTCGTTAATAAAGCTTATAAAACGATAGTTAATGATACTTAACTATCATCCATAAGTCGTTTTTGACTGATTCATATAAATATTGCAAATTTTTTTGTGGCAATATTTTTTTTTCTTCCTTGTCTCATTTCACTCACGAATGTGTGACGAATATAAATCACACATCGTTCGAAAGAGGAGAAAATTTCCTATCAACTGATAACAAAAGTTTACTTTTAGAGCGTGTTTATAGAACAAATATAAGGGACGACATTTTGTGCGTTCTCGTATAGAAAAAGTGCGGATTTGTTTTGAGAGTGTCTCTCTTTTTTATTGTGTCGTTCGATTTACAAACGTGTTATAAAAATAAATTATATACGATTCGAAAGAGGAGAAAAAGCTCTATCTTTTGATAAAAAAAATTTTCTTTTAGCACTTATCTATCGAAGAGAAATAGGGGTCAACATTTTATGTCATTACTTTTGTATCGTCCGTTATATCATATATCGTGATTATATGTAGTTATCTTTCTCAAAAAAAAAAGAAAAAAATTCCAATAAAATGTTAAAAAGAATAAACAACGAATAATAATATATTCTCTCGTTTATTATTGACATGTCGAGGATGGTTCTTTGATCTTATCATTCTTACTAGATCAGATACAATTTTTTGAAAGTTTAACAAATTAATAAAATGACAAAAGATTCAAGCATTCAATAATCAAGGTGTATAGTCTTTATGATTATTTTTTTTTCTGTCTTTACAAAAACACAAATAGCATACAGTGCAAGGACAAGAGTATAAAAGATAGTTCTATTCAATAATGTCGTGCACTTGAAATATTTTATTTTTATTAGATTTATTGGATAAAAGTTATGGAACGATTGTCTAATGTATTTATTCGAATATTGAATATTTCATAGTTTGATACGTTTATGAACGAGAGATATATTAAAAATTGAATAATAGATAAGTCAATTTTTTTTAGAAAGATAATTTAACAACAAAACTGATTTTTCTGTCACTAAAATAATTGAATTGGATAATATTGATTGTACCTGTGTTTTGGGTTTATTTGAAGTAGAATGAAGTGAATTTGATTTAACAAGTTGGTTAGTAATTGAAAATAATTCCAATAGAGGATATTTTGGTTCAATTTCTTTAAGTTGAATAAGAGCAAGATCTTCGGGTTGTGAAAGAATATAATCAACTGTGGGTTTTAGGTCAGCTAGAAGAAGTGTTTATGTTTCTTTTGTAAAGTTCAAATGTTCTCGAATATCTTTTTCACTTTGACATTCAATAACAAAAAGAATTCTGGATCTAGATGAATGAAGAAATGCTTCATTGTTCAAAACATCCATCGATGTTATATATGAAATAAAATCCCCACTAGATAACTGATTGTCATTTTTTTGTTTTTTTACTTATGTTTCAAATCACTTTTAATTCCATTAAAAATAGTTCGTGGAGTCGATGGACTTGAGAAAGTGCTGTCGCAAATAACCTCAAGTATAAAAACCAAGGTTTTAGAAACTGACAGTTTTCATTACAAAGAGCGTCGTTCAATACATAATAAACATTTTCTTCTTTTGGTTTCCATTTTAATGTATAGAGCATAGTAGCAGCTGAGCTGATTCATCTACAGAAAATTGATCTGGTGGTAGTTTCTTGCATCGTTGTTTTACAAAATAAACCATTCAGGAATGAATCGAACCAGAGATTCTACAGCTTCTTCAAGTGAAACAAGGGACACTTTACTACAGTCCTCTTATAGGGGGTCATTGTAATTAAAAGTTCATCATTAGCACCTATGAATCGCTTAGGTTGTTTCGATTGTTGATTAGTATATAATGTATACATTTTGAAAAAAATGACGACAGCAATAGAGTTAGAATCAAAATCTGATAAAAATTAATTGAATAGTAGAAAAAGTGAATTAAAGTTTTTTTTTATATTAAAACAAAAATAAAAGCATAGAATTGCCATCAACCTAATGCTCAATAATGTTTTTTATTGCTTCGGAGAAAAGAAGAGGTGCAGAACATTTTAATAAGCTTTAATATTTAACTAAAGACAAAAAACAATGAATGAAGAGTACGTTAAATACCACACATATTTATTTCATAGTTTTTTCTTCTATATATAAAATGTATGTAAAATAACTTCTAGAATAAATTTCTTTGAAGCAATTCATATTGACACAATATGCCAACTTTTATTTTTATAGTAAAAACATAAATAAAACTTTAAAACAATTAGAAATTATTTGATTTAACCCTTTACCCTCCAATGGATCATATATGACCCATTTGTAGAACGATCACAGAAAATAAAGAAAGCATGAGATTGAAAAACTCCCAAGACATTATTTGTAGGGAACTTCACAAGCTATCGATTGGTAAAAAAAATATTTTGTTTCATTGCTCTGCCTTCAAAATATATGACTTACAAAATCAATAATTTTGAAAAAAATGCAAAAATTCGAAATTTTTTAAACAAAATGTTTTCCACTTGCAATCGATAGAGGTCTTTTGGAATATATGTGTGATATTAATCGATGAAGAAGTCCACTGCTAAATTAGATATGTTTCGAAAGCTTCATGATAATTCCGCGAATTATACATACTAAGGAATACAATTGACCATGTAATCACTGTTAGACAGATGGAGGGTAAACAAGAACAAAGCTAATATATGCGTTATAGACCTCAAGTCATGAGAAATCGAAATAGTATTTATGATGAATTAAATTCCTCCAGACGTTACAAAATGGCTCAGAGTAAAATAGGCTTAGATTTGACAATAGGTGTAAAAACAAAAGCATGCATTCTTTTATGTTAATTTTTATCAGTTCACTCGTTGCGTTTTTTCTATCACTTCAATAGTACGAGATAGATGCTGCTTCTGCCCAGTCCATAATGTGGTCAAAGAAAAAAAAGTCAAGTCTTATGATGTCGTTCAATTCTCATTTTTCACCACATGATTGTTATATCAATCAAACTGTCCTACTTCAGAAACAGGACATTCGGTGGATTAGGCCACACCATTGGCATATTCGACAGGCTAATACTCTATTTATAAAGTTATATTATCAGTAGCTCTTTTGAAACCGCTATGGGAGATAAACGGTTAAATTAGAGTTGTAATCATTATAATAAGACATAAAATTACCAAAAACAAAAATTTACAAGAATCAAATAAACAATCAAAGATGATTTAAACCAGTAGATACATAACTCAGCTATTGGATAATGCACTTTCATATTCTAGATTGTTTTGACTGATAAAGATTTGTTTATTATTGGTCAAGATGCACAAATATATATATCCTATATAAATGGATAAAACTTAATTTTTGAAATGTTTTTTGAAAAATAAAACGCACTGAGTATTCCACAATACAACAAATAAATGAAACAGATGAAATTAAAAATTATAGTAGTTTGAATGATATTGGTGAAAGTAGTAAGTCGATATATTGTTATTGACTTTCTCATATTGAATATTTGAATGTATGTTTTACATAGAATCCTTATGAGAATATTACTTTTAATTTCGATGATCATATTACAAAAATACTAAATATCAATAAGATATAAATATCTAAATGAATGAATGATGAAAGCAAGAAAACAATGGCGAGATACTGAAGTAGTTTTTTTTTACTCATTCTCTGTCTCTGTTAATATATGCTGACGTTCTTTTTTAAAATACTTGTTTCACATCAAGGGAAGATATACAGATTTTAAGCATTGTAATGCTTTTTTTAATTAGTTGTTCTAGGTATACTTGAAAAAGATAGACATTCATGTGAAAAGCAAAAAACTCATTTTTTATCGTAAAATCGGCTTTTATTGAATTCTATACAAACTATGAATTTATTGATTTTCTTTTTTATCCAAGCAAATATCCTTTTCCTTTGTCAACCAACCTTATACATTAAAAGTTAATCATTAATATTAAATCATTATTTCCATTTCCAGATAAATATGCTTTGCTATGCCCTAGAATCAACCTATAATAGAAAACCCCTGGAAAAGACACATCAAGAAAATATTTTGTACTAAACTTTGATTATGTTATCCATTGGTAATGTTTTGTTTTTTTTTTATTTTTCTCATATTCTTGAATATTCTACGAATCGTTTTTTTTTGTCACCTTAAATTTACATAGTTGATTTGAAATATCTAAATATTGTAATCCAACTGTATCTGTTGGATAATGCAAATTTTTAATTTCAATGTGATATCATAGCATAACTGTTTAATAATAGTTTAATTCATTAGTCTTATAGTATTAATTACCAAAACAAGAACAAAAATGATAATACACGAGAGTTAGCGAAGACTAAAATGTCTGATACATTTAGTTGTTTGACTATCGACTATCAAACCATTAAAAATGAACTCTTGTATCTTTTTTTGATCGAATTCATCAAATGAAAATGTTTATCTTTCATGAATTCATGCAAATAAAAACATACGTAAATGTGCAATCACTATGAATCCTGTTGCATGTCAACCAATACATCGATTCATGAATAGAAAAAAAAAGATGACGTATTCTTATGACAACTTATCATTAGCAAGTTATAAACATATCAATTTGTATGATTTACGGGAATTTGTCATGCTTAAGATAAAATATGATCGATCATTATGTAATCATATTATAAAAAGGATTGAAAGACAATAAATAAATGAATTATATCAGATATTTTCTTCCATATTTTTTTTAATGTCGATCATTATTTTCTTATTATTTGTTTAATTATTTAATCGATTATTTTTTTAAGTAGAATTCATATTAGTTTGTAATCATCAACTACAAAATTTTGATAAATAAGTAAACGTTTTCTTCTCTAAGAAAAAAAAAAGAAGTTTTGATCATTTTTTGTTATAAATTGTACAATCAGCATGTATATATATATAATTGATATCCGATATAAACAAATAAACAAGTTAACATTTATTATAGAAACACAAATCATAACATACTAACCAATCGAATAGACTAGTAACAAATACTAATAAAAACAAGGAAATATTAATGTATAAAGAAGAAGATTTTGGTAAATGAACTTCACTTGAAACAAATATAAATAGAATAGTATTCGTTAGATGTATTGCTAATAGACAAACAGAACAAATAAGTCCATATGTAAAAAAGAGATGTGGTCGTTTTGAAAGTAATAAACTATCAACTAGAAGAAGTAAAATAAGATTATAGAAAATAATAATCAATGCAAATGCCATATTCCAATTTAATAAATATTTTTGTTCTTGTTCAATTGTTATTATCCATGATGGATTATGATAAAATTCAGCATTAAAACAAAGTAAAACAAGGCCAATCAATATATTAATACCAAGAATAATCGATGAATAAATTCTTGATAACATATTTTTCTCTTATAAATTTATCATTAATATAAATATCTTAAAAAAAAAAACGAAACCAACAAAATCTCTCAATGTTATTTTTCTTGTTTTATTTTTCAAAAGAAAAAGAAAAACACTAAAAAAACATTTTAAAGTTGCAGAATAAATTGTCCATTTGGTTCATGAAATTGTCTACCAACATATATAACCCATGCAATAATACCAACAATTAATGTTAATGAAAGTAAACCTAAATCTGCAATTAATAATCTTGATGAAAGTAAATTAATTATATTTAATTTACTAATTTCATATGCAACAAATATAATTAATACTATATTAACTAGATTAATTATAAAAGTAATATATCCATGAATTGTTGCATAAATATGATATTCTCGACCCAAATAACAAGAAAAAACAAGTGGAAGAAGAATAATACCAAGTAAAATAATGATAATACCAAGTAAAATTGAACAACCAAATATAAATTGATAATCAGATGATATAAAAATAAATGTTGTATTAATTATTAATAAACTAAAACCAGTTAATGAATAATAGAATGCAAGACATCCAGCTAAATTTCCCCAACAAACACCTGATTTCCAATTAGATTTGTATACAATTGTTGAATCAACTTCCATTATATGATTTTAAATGTCTTTTAACGAATAATGGACAAAGAATAAACATACAAACACAAATATATCTATATATATATAACGAAGAAAGAAAACAACTGTATAACTATATTTCGATTTCATTTTATCAGCTGATTATAATAGAATGTAAAATCTTTATATATCGTTATATATTTTTCGTATTTTCAATAGATTATTGATCGATATTTCATAGAAATAGTATTTACTTTTAAACGAAAAAAAGTGTGTTGTTTTAAATATTTAATTTTTCATTTTAAATAAAACAAAAAATCATTTTTGATACAGTTAATTATTTTGTATTAATTAGAGAGTAACTATTAAGAAAGAATTATTATAATATTTTTTGTTGAACGTAGTCCAATATTTAAAATTATTTATTATAATCGAACTCATTGTAGATAGGTCATACTGCTCTTTTCCTCTTATTGAATTATTATGACTAGTTCTTTTTTGTTTTTTTCCATGTCATCGAGTCAAAATACAAAAAAAGACCTTTCGAACAAAATATTCATTCAGAAAAAAAAGAAACTCATAACTCATTTGTAGACAAGACTTCATTTAACAAAACTGTTACAGGTATTAAATTTCTATTTTAGATTTGATCGGTTTAGATTTAATCATCATATGATATAGTTTAAGAATAGTTTTCACAGATTAACTATGTTCTTTTTCTATTTTTATTACATACAATACGTGTTCCTTATCCTTTATAAGTATAAATCTTCTTTTTTTTTTATTTTTGTATAAATGATAATAATAACTATCGAAGTTTAGTAAATGAAAATTTTGTCTGGATTATAGTTTATCTAAGAAACAGAAGTAAAAGGAAAATAATTCTAGTCAATGGAAATATGTTGATTGTTTGATGACAACAAAATATTCAATTACTTTGTAGAAGTTGTATGATAATTTTCCCTGGTTTCATATGATAAGGCATCATATTTTATTAATATATGTTTTCAAGAGTTTAGATATTGATTCCATAAAGTCACTTCAATCTTTTTATATTTAAAAGTTTAATATTAAGAACAAGTATCGTTTTATTGAAAATCAATATTTTATTCTATGAGAATATATTTTTTTTTTTTCTAGTATGCATTATAACATCAATATTAACATAAGTATTGTAGATTATTTTTCAAAAGACCCCTCGATGAGATAATCTATCTTAATTCTAGAAAATAACAAAAAAAAAAAAAAAAGAAAATACTTTCATCGGAATGAAAATGATCAGCGTGACAAGAGATCATATATACAATTGATTCTTAATACGACTTAATTTTTTTCTAGGTAAATAATTTTTCTAAAAAATTTTTACGAACATTTATCAAATAATTTAAATTAACAGAAAAAAAAAACATGAAAAATATTTGTCTTTTTTTTTTTTTTTTTTGAATATTTAAAATCAATTAAATTTCTATTAAACAACAAATAGAGAGATAATCGTTTTCTGTTTTTTTTAGGTTTTTAATCATATATTGACTTTATAATGACATATTACTATTGAAAAAGAATTCATATATCATATTTATGATATTTTTATTTATAAAAAGTAATATGACATAGAAAAGAAATAAAATGAAAAAGAGTTTTTATTTAAATTGACAATTGACGATGTCAAAAATGTCAAATAATATATGAAAATGTTATTTTCATTATATTATATTTTGATCTAATAAAGCAATTAACTGACTTTTCTTATTTATTCAAATCGTTTCCTTTTTTATTTTCTTTTTCATATTATTTTTATATGATTGATCATTTATGTTTGAAAAAAAAAACAAAAAAAAGATTTTTGTTCTAATTTAAAATTCTAATTATATTTGCTTTTCATTGATAAATATATATGGCTACACTCAGCAGAAACTATATATATATATATATATATATATAAGTAAGCTAATGTTATTTTTGTTTTGCTTGTTAAATGAACAAATGAGTTAGAAATTCAATTATGTTCTTCAAAGATGTTGATGAATCTTCACTAGTTTTTTTACCAACATGCAAAGATAGATGCATTTAATATACATTAATATAAGTACTTATATATCAGTACATGTTATTTAATGAAATATCTTGAGTATATTTATATAATAAAGAGGCGAACAAAGAAAACGTGATATATTATTAAAAATTTCTATGGTGTTGTCATCAGCTAAGTCTCAATAGTTCCCAGTCATCTGTCACCTGTCATCTATCTTTAACATTATTTACTGGGACTTGTTATATAAATTTGTCATACAATTATAGACGTCATTGGTTCTATCCGGTTTATTTGATTTATCTGTTGTATGTATTCTTCGTTAGTACTTATCAGTGATGAAAAGAAGAAGACATTGAAGTTTTTCTTTTTTTCTTCTTCTTCTTCTCCTTTCGCATTCCTTTACTTGTCATCTTTCTAATTGATTTCGATGTGTCACAAAGGCACATTCCGTTTTTTTTTTGACGTCAATATTACTTGTTTTATCATATCATTAGAAAGAAAAAAGACTTCTGTTAGTGTTATTGTTACTCTACTTTCATTTATCTTCATTTTTTTTTCATTGTTGGTTTGTGCATGTGTGCATTAAAGCATTATTTTCTTCAATTTTTTTCCGTAAAGTACCGGCCCGAGAGAAAGGAAAAGTCCCGAGAAAAAAAAAGAAGCAAGATGCAATTATAGATACTAGTATTCCCTAGCTTATAGTCACAAAGTGTTTCTCGGGTATGGATGAGTGGGTGTAGAAAATAAAAAGGAAACAAAGTTCTTATAGAATAATATATGGAAATATATGAGAAAATCGATACAATATTTCCAATTGCTTTTTTTTTCGTTTGTATAAAGAAAGACAAAAAAAATTGAATTTAAGATATACATATATATATATTTATTAGTCTATCCAGCATTATGTAAATAAAACGAGACGAAAATGATCTTGTTGTTCGGTAATTTTACCAATATTATATATTCAACAATCATGATATAATTTTGTTTTGATCTCGTCTATCATTATTTTCTTAGCAAAACATAATAATTGTATTTGACGAAATGGTCGATTTTTTTTCCACCCACGTCCTAGGATCATCTTCAGAGAATTTAAATAATAATATATTTGCTTAAAGAACATCGAAAGACATAAATTGACAAGCTAAAACATGCAAATTCTAGGAAACACATTTGTCTTTTGCTGTTTTTCTTCATCTGTTATTATCCTATGTAAAAGATTAAAAAGAAAAAAAAAGGAACAGGTAGTCCAGCTGTTCTATTCATTCGTAAAAACACTACGATTTCTACTTTTCTTCCTTTCTCTTTCTAGTTCTTCGTTTTCCCTCCCCCTACTTCTTCTATTGGAGTCGTTGTCTGGCTTTTTTGCATTTCTCTGTGTTCTTTCTGCGTTCATTTATCATAAAAGAATGAATGCACATATAATCATTCTTCTTTATTGATGTTGCGCTTGTGTTTCTTATTGAGTATATTAGAATAGAAGTCATATCTACCTTTGATTGTTTTTGAGAATCTAACTTCCTTTCTAACTGTGTGTCAAGCATGAGTTTGTGAGATATTTCTTTCAATTCAATAGATGAAAATCAATATAGACATTCATTTTTTTTTTTATTGTAGGAGTTTGAAGAAGAACGTGACATATGAATAGTAAGAGATCTAGAAATATAATAGGAGGGGGAGGACGAATTAAGCGAAAAGAAAAACTAAGCTCATACATTTATTGTCATAAAATCTCAATAAAAACATCATTCAAAGAAAGCTTTGTAAGTATATATTTATATACATATATTTTTTTAATATCTTCTTTGTATATCTTTATTCTTATGATGAATTTCTATATTTTGTATTTGAATGAAGAAAAAAAAAAAAATCAAATCAAACACAATCATATTATATTTTAATTGTTATTCAAAACTATATTTAGGATAGATTTATTTGCATTCTATTATGTTTCTAATTATTCCAATAAGGCTAAAGACTTTTATTTTTTCCTGTATTTTTTCATAGTATAAGATAAGTAAATCAGAATATTCATGACTTATCTGAAAAATTTTGCCTTTTGTTTTTTATTTACTGAGTAAATTTTATGACATTTTCTATTTTCTTTCTGGTACCTGACATTTAGATTTATTTGACTTTTTTTTTTTGTCTGACTTTGTTTTTAAAGAGATTCCATCAACAAGAAACTATAAGGAATGATAATAAATAAAAGAAGAAGAAACAAGAGACAATGTATAATGAAGGAAGTAGAACAGATGCATGTAAAAATTTTAATGCATGACTTAGTATTTTTGTAACAAAATTAGAGCGACCTTCGATACACTATAAAATAGTTAAAAGCACTTAATTCTATTCATATTTATAAATATTTTTTTGTTTTTTTTAATTCATCATGAGATTTTTTTTATTTTGTTGTATTATAAAGATGAAAAATAGAAAATATTTATTATATTTTCTCGTTCAAAACCAAACGAATCTTCTATAATAATCACTTAAGTCAAGATCTATTCATTGATTATGTGAGTATATTCTTTATTTGATGATTTATAGAAAATTGAATTGTTATTAATAAAAAATAAAAAAAAAAGAAAGAGAACAAGTATTGATTTATCTCTTTGCTCTTTTTTTTAGATATTATACTTTTCTAATTTAACATAAACAGTAGTAAAAAAAAACACAAAAAGAACGAAGCAAGATGATTTTATCCGTTTTATTTGGTATTATAGTGACCGTGTGTCTCGTCTCAACATTAATTTTTTATGTATTTATGCGTAATCGAGAAAATTATAAATCATCATCAATGTCATCATTAAATGGACAATCATGTTTAATAAAATATACTTCAGGACCATCATTTAGTATAAAACCAAAAATATTAAATCCAATTTCTTCAATTCGTACAAGTGTATCAAGTAATAAAAGTGATCGTTCATCATCAACAATAAATGATAATGATGAAAATAATTTAATTGAATCAATTAATCCATCAATACCACAAACACGTTCAGTTAGTATGGTAACAAATTTAATTCCATTTCATCGGCCACGTAATTCTAATTGGAGACAAGTTTCAATTGTTGATCAAAATCAAATGGCATTAATTCCATTTTCTCTTCCAACAAATAATTCTAATAATAATAATAAATATCGACGTCGATCTGTTGCTGTATGTAATAACATAATTCAACCAACAGAAAGTTTAATAACAACAAATGATTTACCATTACCACCATGTCTACTTTCATTTTCTATAATCTATTTAAAAAATGCACAAATTAAAATTCAATTTCATTCAATACAATCATTACCATCAAATATACATCTTCAACAATTAACTATTAAAGTTAAATTAATTCCTGATGGAAAAGAAAAATCTATTCAAATAAAAAGAACTATAGAAAATGAAATAATATTTGGAGATGAAAATAATCAACTTTTTCTTTTATTTTCAAATATTCCATTTGAAAAACTTAATGAACGAAGTTTAACAATGACAATCAATGGAAAAGATCAAACAAAAAAAGCCATACATATTGGTCAAATTGGAAAAATTAATTTTAATGAAATACATAAATTTGAAAAAGAAAATCCAGTTGATTTTATTCATGCAATTGAAAAAATTAAATCAGTAAATAAAAATTATTTATTTATTTAATATTTTATTTTTTTTTAATTTTAGTCATCAGTTGAATTATATATTTCTCTTGAAAAAAATGATGATCAACATATACATATTGATTTACAACGAATAAAAGGTTTAAAAATTGATCAAAAAAAACTTGGTTAGTATTTTTTTTTAATTAATCTTTTCTTATATTTTTTTTTATATGAATAATATTAAAAATCTTTCTTTTAGATGCAAAATTTTATTTACAAGTAATTCTTCTTGATCGTCATCGACCATTATCAAAATATCAAACAAAATTTTATCGATTAAAATCTTCAAGTTTAAATATTCATGAAGAACATGATCTTGATATTTTAACATATAATTCAAATAATCTTGATCGATTAATGATTATGTTAAATTTATATTCAAATTCAAATAATACAAATGAATATAAATGTATAGCTCATGTTAAACTTGGATCACCATTATATTGTTCTGGTAGTGGTACTATTCATTGGCAACAATTTAAAATTCGAGAATCATTTTCCATGTGGCATACATTAAACAAAGAACAACATTAATTATTATAAAATGACGAACGAAAAAGAATTGATCGAATTGTATTTTGTTTTGTAGAAAGTAAAAAAAGCTGGAATTCATCATTATGTGTTTTTTTTTTCGGTAATTGTCTGTATATTTTTCAAAAAAAACAAAGGAGACAATAAATCAAGACGAGACCCGGTTTAAATAAAACCCGTCAAAAAAGAAAAAAAAAAAAAAGAAGCTTATTTATGAATAGGTATTCAATGAAATGAACTCTAATTAAAAAAATTGAAGTAAATGAAGTCAAGTGTAGAAGCTGTTAGAATTGAGTACTTGTGTCTATATGAAGGTGAACAACTTCCTCAAGCTAATAACCAATTTCCTTGATTTTGAATAATGTCATGTTGTTTAATAAGAATATCTCTGCCATATTATTAAAGAAACGTTCCGTATAATTTTTGACAACATGCCTTTTTTTTAATATAAGTACACTTGATAAAGTCTGTCATTAATATTTATCATAGAAATTTTAAATATGATTATTAAACAACAGGAAACCTTTTATTTATGTGAAAATGTTTTTAAATAAGAAAAATAGACCAATCCTTCTATCATTCACATGAAAACAACTTCTATTCAATGATATTAAATTCTATATTGAATATGAAGAAATATGTTTTTGTGTTTCATAATAAAATAAATAGATTGATACTAGTTTATTCATAAAGATTATTAAGAAAAATTGAGTAGATTCAAAAGAAATATCATCAAATTTCTATGGTAATATTCTTGTTAATCTATTTTTATCATAAAATCTTTGTTTCTTTTTTTGTTTTTGTTCAGAATAAAATTATTTCGGAGAAGAAAAAAAAAAAACAACAATTAAAACTATTTACATTTGAATATTGTAGTTTTAATATTTTCAAAAACAAAAATATAAATATTTTTGATTCTTTTATTGTTTAAATGAATAAAAGAACTTTTTTTTTTTCTAATTAAGATAAAAGCTTAGTACAAAAAAAAAATAAGACAAATACGTTTATGTTATTCTACTGTATTAATGAAAAATAGAAATGTTGACAGATTTATTCTTTCTCATTAGGAAAAAAGCCGCATACTTTTGTCATTTCATTATTATGTTAAGTTTGATGAGTTGGATTTATACTTGTCCAATTGTATGTCACGTAATTCTATGGAATTACTGACAATGGTGTATTTATACAAGGTTTGGTTGTTTTATCCTCAGTTAAAATGTTCTTTCTGTTTGATAATCCATTTAAATATATATATAACTTCATATTTATAAGTCGATTTTGATGATAGAAGAAAAAACAACGCTACTTTCTTTTTATGTCATCTATTTTTGTATACGTATATTGATTACTCATTAGTAAACTATCAGAAAAATATTCAAGTGTTCCATATATATTTATTAATTTATTTTGACAAAAATAAATTGTTAGTATTCAAATAGTTGGAAAATTGATGAAAAATATAAGAATATCTGTAAATAGAAAAAATTATTTCTCAAGTGGTTAACGTCATGTATAAGGATGATTTTATATAAAAAGAAAATTAGTTGAAAGTCATCCGTTTCTATGAGAATTAGGTAATAGAAAAATTATTCGATCGTGTCATCCGTATTCCTTTGTAAAATTTCTTAATAGCTAAACTAAAATAGCCTTAACATGAATATATATATATGATTAATCCAGAATAAACTACTGATGACATTCATTGAAAGGAATTTATATGAATAAAGTCATTTAGTACTATCTTGGTGTAGTCGTCCTATATTTTTACATATACTCTATAATGACCTCTTTCTCAAACATTTTTCTTATATTAATATATAGCTTTCGAACAACAAGTGTCTTTTATAATGAGTCAGATGTCTTTCAAAAAAACAGTAAAATGACTCATATATATCTATAAATATTATTAGTAGCGTTGGTAATACAACTAACAGATGGGTAGGAAGTAGAATTTGTTATCATATTAAAGTTATGTTTAAATTTTTTGATAGGACTTTTCATAGTTGATATCGAAATATAGACGACCTTAGATAATATCTATGAATAAAATTATTAATCGAAAACTTTTATGATAAAGTTTTATACATCAATGTAAATACATTGGTCATAGAAAGAAAATCATCTAGATAAAAAGAATGAAATTCTAACTTGACAATTGTTATAACTAATTTGTTCTCTTGAGATATTTATTTTATTTCAAATCTCGTTATTTATATTAATATCAAATAGGGAATATATATAAATGCTTATTATTAATTTTAGAAATTCTGATTTTCTTCGAGTTGAATCAATCATGTAATTTATTATCATTTACTAATTTGCTTATTCGTGAAATAGTTTGATAAGATCTGTTTTTGAAATAATTTTATTGATCTAATTTACATAGAATAAGTATACAACTTAAAAAACTAATAAAAATGATTACATCAAGTCAGACAAATGGTTGATTGACTTTTAGTCAATCTTGATCTTATAAATATTTTATATGTTCGTCTGAGAACAATTTTTTTTTTCTTTAACATTGAATGTGAACTGAAGTAGTGCTTCAAACTGTAATAAAATATTCCATCAATTAATTCTATTCATTGATATTAATGTTCAGTCATCTCAATCTGACATCGAATATAGAAAGTGCTATTATATTAGACTTCATCTTATTATTAAATATTATATAAATATTTCAATTAATATTTTAATAAAATCATCATCAATGACCATTGATTTTTATTTGTTATGTAATTGGTCTAAACTCACTTCAACAAAGTTTTCGATCGAAAATATAATTTCGATATGATACACGTATATCACTCGTTTCTCAGTCATACTAGAATAATTAATTTGTCATTTAATGAAATTGTTTCAATGTTTTAAATATTAAGGTTTCTATGAGTTTCACTGAAAAAAAAAATAATATGTAATATAGTTAGAAAAGTCTTATACAAATTGTGCTTTTGAGTTTCTACGTATTTTTATATTATCATAAAGCGATACTACAATGTCAGATTTACTGTTACTATATGTAAAAGTTATTTTTGGTAATAATCTTTTATCTGTCAATCAATCATATAATGTCTACTTTAATATTTTTTAATATAAATTCTAATTCGTTTTCAATAATTAATGGCTATTTTGAATAAATAAGCACATTACTTTTTTTTTTTCGATGCACTATTTTAGAACATGATAAAACAAAATATGAAATAAATAACCATTGAGTTTTTTTTTTTTCGTAAAGTTATAATGAACATGTTTCAATTATCAAAAATCGAATAGAACAATCCAAAAACAAAAGATACTTTCTTTTTTGTCTAGTTTTTGATATATGAAGCCTTGAAATTTGTCGTCTTTTCTATTATCTCAATTGTCTATGCAATTTAATATTTATTTATTTATGAATGTTAAGTGAAAAATGACAAACTATAATAACAATTAATATTTCAATATTTACGAAGTAATCATGTTGCTTCTATATATATATTTCCAAGCATTCTGAATGATGTTAAGGATATATTTTGCCGCTAGATATCTCTCGTTTTTAATGTTAATGCATGCCAATCAAATATGGTTTGTAGTTTAAATAACAATACTCTTGATGTTAAATTAATTGACTCTACAGAAATAACATCGTCAAGAACACTAATGTGTTTTAATGGTCTCGAAAAAAGACTGGTGTTGCACTACAAATAAAACATGTCAGGATGACATTTTTTTTCTGTAATGTATCATTAGGAATGACTTATATATACATATATATATTGAATTTTTGAATCCAAACCATTTTAGAGTAGTACTGATATGTCAAAAATATACTTATGAAAATATATTAACTATATATTTTTATGAGAAAGACAATTTTGTGTCAAATTTTAATTCATTGAGTATAACAGAATATGTGTATATATTTACGATATTCTTCATTGACAAATTATTATTTTTTGTTGTTCATAGAAAAATAAGAAAGCAATGATATTAGTGCATTTGAGTACAGGCTCGGTTTTGACAAGGTTTATTTTTTATCAGACACATTAATATAATTACAAAAGAAAATTTGGTGACCATACTAATTTATTCATGTGAAACCACTAGTTATTGTGTACTTAGTATAGCCGTTCAATGCTAGAGTATGAAGTAATTACTACCAGTAAAAAAAAATCATATTTATCAACATAAAAGACTATAAATATGACTTTCAAAAAACATTAAAATATGAAATAGTGTTATTGAGTAAAAAGCTAATCATCGTTTCATGGCACGATGAACACATGTTTCGTTACGGTCAATGAATTATGCAAGAACTAAAATCTGAATAATCATCAATAGACAGATGAAAATAGGATTGACGAAGTTTGAAATGAAAGTACTGTATATATAAATGTTTTTTATAAACCCAAAATGCTATAAATCAGCTCTGTTTTATTCACTTCAGACACATACAAAAACAAAAAAACCTTACTCTAATAAATTTCGAGAATCGGTTGAAAACAACGAAAGATGAGTCGAAATAAATTTGATCCACGTATTTCTGTCAAATCAGTTGGATTACATATCTATTGCTTCCTTACAGCAGAAACATTCTAGTATTGAAAGTAATTATTGTATTATTAAAACAATTATCGACTAAATCCAATTTTCTCACCATTATAGGAAATCTAGATGTAATAACATTAATCTAGTCTATAGAGCTAGTCTGAAGCCGAGTTTGAGCCTGAGAAATTTATAGGATGTCTTGGTAGCAAAGTTACGAGCGGTATTAGACTTAAACTAAAATATATCGCTGACGTCAGGCGTACGTTTCTGATCCAGATTCAAAAACGTTGAAATCGATGAGCTCTCATAGCTTTCTAACGAATATGTAGATTTTTAAACCCTAGCAGAATAATATGGTTTAAAAATACAACCAATTAAGTATCATTGAATGAAACGATTGATGATTTCTTTAGTTGAGCTCAAATTCGTATCTCCCAAGTTGGTATTTCATTATTTCATCCGTCGCTAACTAGTTGAATAGAGTGTCATGCATAAAATGTGAAATGTAGGTTTTCAATAAAAAAAAAATACAGCCGTTTCAATGAAATACATTATACATTCATCATGACAATCTCTCTCAGACAAGCTTGTTATTTATATAATGGTGAGTTGAGCATATATATATTTTCTGCCAAACTGAAAACACTGTTGTAAGTGGCCAGAATAAATTGTCACTATCATTGTAATAACAAAGAAAATGTTCACTAATAGGACCAATCTTGCATGAATGAAGAGTTACAACAGTGTCCAGCCTAAAGTAAAAAAGTTGTGCCGGACGTGCCGTGGCATAACGCCGAAGAGGTCATAGACTTCAGCTTAAATGTATACGGAAAAGAAATTAACCAGTTGTACGTGTCGTAGCTCTAGACTGTTGGGTCACAAGTACAGCTTTATCAACTCTACACGCTGAATTCCTAAGACACCCAATACGATGGATTTGCCTTCTCAGCTATGGTGTCACTTGACACGCCTGGTTTGCACTTAGTATACTACATAAACCTTTACTCAGAATAAATTATTTAGGATAAATCAATATAATACATAAATATGTGCAAGAAAATGGGTGGGCAGATATTGAGAAATTTAACGTGAAAAAAATGCTGATGTTTCAACAAATTAAACAGAATAATACGAATAGCTTTGCATCTAAGTAGAACACGAGAAGATGATAATAAATTTCAGGCAGCAACGAGCGCTATGTTCTAAACAATAGAGTAGATAATTAAGAAAGAAATAAGTCGACACTCAATGAGTCGTCTTTAATGTCTCGTTATCTTCCCATTAAAGAACTAGTAATGTTGTAGTATGTATTCGAGTGAAATATATTCAAATCTTTTACTACGATGAGTAATAGTGCACTGAATATCGATAAAATCTAAATATCAATAAATGAGAAAGAAGATTCCATCAAGCAAACTTTCTAATTCCTTCTAGATTGTATTTCGTGATATAGAGAAGATAAATTATGATAATATTAACGTCTCTTGAAACAACCATTAATATCGTATACGTATGATTGAATAACATTTTTGCAATATCGTTTATAGTATTAAATATAATTAGAAAAGTCTTGATCTATATTATATTTATCTTGATGAAATAAAAATTATTCGGCCATTATTATCAACTTCTAATATGCTCAAGTAGTTTCTTTCGAAATAAGAAACTAATAATAGATATGAACTTCTTTGCTAGAATTTGTTATAATGAATATTCACCGAAATAGATTGAAAGAAATACAGGAACATATGTATCTGAATGTACATGTGACCTCTCCGTCCACATATGAAAAGACATATTTTCGTTTATATGTCATTTTATACGTTGATGATGGTACAAAATAAAAACAAGTGTAAGTGTCATAGTTCTTTTTGATCACATAATGAAGTTTTCAGAGAAAGTCTTCAATATCCAAAATAGTTTATATATTATCTAATTCTGTTGTATATCGTGGGAAAATGATTTTTTGATTGATTCTACTTGACTTTGATATTGATATTACTATTCGAATCGCATAAAATCAAATCAAAATTCATTCTTTCATGATACATTACAAAGTTTAATCATATGTATATCAGTGAATAAACTATGTCTTTCTCTAGAAGCCTCAATAAATTCTGTTCTGTAATCAAAATCTTGTAGCCATCTTTGAAATGATTTATATATAAATAATGTCAACAAACAAAGTATATATACTATAGGAAAAAAAAAAGTAATCAATGCAGAACAGGATAAAAATGACGAAAAACAAGACAGAGCATATGACGTTTGAGATGCACATTACACGTGATTTTTACGAAAATAACAAACGCAGTTGGAAATTTTTAAGTGTTTTTTTTCACAAAGTATGTCGATGCTTTCACCAAACATATTAAAGTGCTTCTAAAATATATAGGTTTACCCTTCTGTTGATATCTCACTCTCTCTCTCTATATATATAATCCGGATTTATAATGACGTATAGCAATAAAATCAAATATCCTCCAACAAATACAAAAACAGATCAAATATACAGAATAATGTCCTTATTATCAGGAGCAATAGTGATTCTTGTTCTTCTTATCTGTTTTCATTGTTGGACATGTTTATCTAATAGATTACCATCAGGTTTTGTCTATGTACATGATATTATACCAGATATACAAATAAGTTTACGTTATGCAAGTGAAGAAAATTTTATAGGTCATGTTATTAATGGTTATTCATCAAATGTTTCAATTATGACTAAAGAAGCAGCTATAGGTTTAAAACAAGCACAATTATTAGCAAAAGAAAATGGTTATGAATTAGTTATTTATGATGGATATCGTCCACAAAAAAGTGTTAATCAATTTATTAATTGGAGTCAAAATGTTAATGATTCACAAATTAAAAAAAGTTTCTATTATCCATATGTTAATAAAGAAGATACATTTAAACTTGGTTATATTGCTAAAACATCTGGTCATACAAGAGGAAGTACAATTGATTTAACTTTAATTTTACTTGGAAAACATGTACAAATTCCTTTAAAACCTATTCAAAGAAATTTAACAAATAATTCAACAATATTTTATTTAGATGATGGTACAGTTGATATGGGTTCTTCATTTGATTTATTTGATGAAGCATCATATACAAATAGTACACTTGTTAATAAAACTTATCAAGACAAACGAATTATGTTTAAAAATCTAATGCAAAAAGCTGGTTTTATTAATTATGCTAAAGAATGGTGGCATTATACACTTATAAATGAACCATTTCCAGATACATATTTTGATTTTGATATTCAATCATCATGTTCATTGAGAAATCATAATCAAAATTTTTTATGGAAAATTTTTATTTTATTTATAAATAGTCTGTGTCATTTGAAATCGATTAATACATAGAATAAAAAGAAAAATAAATCATACGTTTTTGTATACTAATATTTTTTATTGTAACATGCAAGGACGACCATTATAGAAAAATACATTTACCTGTATAAGGTAGTCACATTTGTTGTGCATATATGTTTCGTTTTTATAATTGTATATTACCTTCAAAATATATTTTTATTATGTAGCATGTCATCGAAACGAGCAAGTAGCATGATATTTAATTTGATAACAAATGATTGGGAAATTTTGAGATCAGTTGTTTGTTCACTATTAATATGCTAGACAATATTTCTATTGAGTCAAAAGTTAAACGTTCGAATCAAAATTTTATGCTGTTATCGAATATGAGCTTAGAAATTGTGTATTCATTTTTGTTCGAGATTCGTAAAATAAGTTTTGATGATGAGTCGAAAAATTAGTTTGGACAAAAAATTTTTCTGCACATTTTTGTATTTTTCACTATTTGTAACTCAAAAGTAAAAGTTGGGACCTTTGGTTGATATATCAGCTGGTAGATTTGAGGATCTTTTTCGTCTGTAGAGAAGGCAGTTCACTTTTCATTTTCCATAAAATGCTCATGTTTGAAAAACTAATTTTTTGATCAAAAATCGCTATACGTTGATAGAAGCTGTTAAAAAGATGTTTATAGCCTCATTTGAATAAATGCTAGAGCTTAGCTCAATATTACATTTTATAGGGGGAGTGTTCGCTCTACACACCTATAGATTTTGACAATTATTAACATCTTTGAAAAAGACCTTATAGGATAAATAAAAATCTGTTAGCTCATGATTAAAAACAAATTTTCAGATCTTTCAGAAAGTTTCGTACTATTCTTAAACCAAAATAGATACAACATTTCTAAGTCTATATTCAAAAAAACGACATAAAATTTTAGTCGAGATCTATAATGATTAGGCTGTCTGGAATGTATTCAAACATGTCAAAATAAAAAAATATGTTCACTTAAAACAGCAGTCTACAAGTTTCGTTCAAACTATATTTTAAAGTTCTTCAAAGATTATTTCATTAGTTTCGAACAAAGACCGAGACAAAATTTCTAAGTCCATGTTCAAAAAACAACAACCAACATTCTGGCATTAATTCATATCTTTCGCTTCATCGAAAATATTGTCTAGAGTGTTCAAAGCGAATAAATGTCTTGCCTAAAAACTTTTCAATTACCTGTTATATATAGATTATTTAAACAAATTAATATTTAATTATTATTATTTCAGGTTGACTAAAGTAAAAAAAACAAAAAACTACAATTAACGATGAGTTCAACAATTACAAATGAAAATACATTAACAACAAAAAATCCATTACAGAATTCTTTATCAGGTTGAAAATGAAATTTATGTCAAGAAAAATAAATTTCATATCTTTTTTTAATGTTTATATAATTCAGCTGATCGTATTCATCATGATAATTTAATTTCATCAAGATTTGCTGAATCACTTCCCATTATGCAAATTAATAGTGAAGAAACAACACCAATACGATCAAATTTATCTCGTTTTCCTGAGAGTATTTTTTTATTTTTCTTAAATTTGATTTTCATAATTATAATCTTTTTTTTTTTTTACATAGCCACAGATATCACTCATCTGAATGATGAAAGTCTTAATAGAACAAATCTTCAAACAGTCTTAACGAGTTATTCGGAAGAACAAAGTGTTGATGAAAGTAATCATTCTATATCTGACATAAATAAAGAAAACGATAAACTAGGACAAACAAAACATCTCAGTCGATGGGATGATGCTTTAGAAAAACATAAACAACAACAACAACAACAACAAGAAAAAAATGAAATTCCTGTAAAAGGTAAATAATTTATTAAATACAAATCGATATAAATGATTAATTCTAAGATGAAAAAATTGATAATACTTCTGTTCCTTCAACATGTTTACCATCTTCGACAGAAATAATTCATGTTGAAGTACAAGAATTTAAACCAACATCTATTAATGATCCAATATTTTCCGTTCTTCGTAATCTATTTATACGTTCATTTGATGAATATTATAAACAAATTGAAGCTCAATTAAATTTAAAAACTGATAAAACTCTTATTCAATGGCTTGATGAAACATATAATGATGAACAAGAATCTATTTTATCAGGAAAATATCGTTGTTTTATTTTATGTAGTAATCAATATCAAGATTTAAAAGATAATGTTGTAGGATTTTTAACATTAAGAGAAGAAACCGAAGGATCAATATACATTGCTCAAGTAGCTGTTCGACTTGATGTTAAACGACGAGGTTATGGAGTTCAATTATTACAACATTTACGTCATGTTTATCCACCAAATACTTATTATTGGGGTTTATGTCGACGAGCTAATCGACCAGCTTTACAATTTTATCTTAAAAATGGTGCAAAATTTATGAATAATGATGATGTAGCAACTAAATATGGATATGATCCAACATTATATGCCGGTTTTGAATTTTTCGATCCTGTTTCGTAAGAAAAATTTAATACGGACAAAAAAAAAAAAATATTTTTTTTTTATCGTACAATTACTTCTTTAGAGTTGTTGTTCCACAAATAAAAACAATGCTAAAAACAGAACCAAATATTAATAATTCTGACCAACAACCAACAATAACAAGAACGTATGTATTCTTCTTTTTAAATGTTCTTTAATTAAATATTGTCGTAATACCACATTTTCTATCTCATATATATCTTTATGATTTACTGATATTCAAAATAAAACCTTAAATAGTGCTACGATATGTTTGTTTCAGTTCAATCAAAGAGGATGATTTTTTTTGGTTACTGATAGAAATTTGTTTAAACTTTCTCTTTTTTTTTTCGTATAGATGAACTAGATAAATAATATAATGATGTGTTATTTATTTGATATCACAAAAGTAATTTTACCCCTTTATCAAATAAGAAGAAATTAAAATGAACTTTATGAATGATATTATATTGTTGCATGTAGAATAAATTTTTAAGACTAGTAGTTAATTAAAAGTCAACGATTCAAAAATGACAATAGCATTTTGTTTCTGTTATTTGTATAAAAAAAAAAAAGATATTTTAATTTTCTATTCTAATATTATTTATGACCGACCTTATATATTTCTTTTGTATAAAATAATTCTGAGACATGCATATTTCTACAAGAAAAGTGAAGCTATCTTTCTTATATTTATCGTCTTTTATATGTTTAATTTCATCAGTATTTTATATTATTATTGAAAATGTTTCTTTACTATTTCTTTTTTAGAGCAGAAGATAATGAAAATCCTTTATTGAAAAATAATACTGAAGAAAATCAAGAACAACAAAAAAAGAAGAAAAAAACAAAATTAGTCAAGTGTTGCATTATATCATGAAATACATATAATATCATCGTATAAATCTTAAAATTGATATAAATATATGTAATTTTTCTTATTCGTTTTTTTTTTTTTCTATTTCAAATATTCTTTGACATGTTTCAATATACATATATTAACCTAATCAAAAATTATAATAAATTTTAGATTTACAATAAAAGAAAAAAAAAAGAATGGGTACTACACTTCGTAAACATTTGAAACCATCATGTTTACACGAAGAATTTGAAAAAAATTCACTTTCATCTTCATCAAATATTCAAGAATCATCAATAGAACCTTTACCTGATGGTATAACACTTCTATGGCTTGATCCATGTGCTAGTGAATCTCATTCAATTGATGATAAAAATATTATCAATTATTTATGTCAATTGAATATAGCTTCAATTCGACTTTATGATAATATTAATTTATGTCTTAATTTTTTAAAATCTCTTTTATATATTAAAAAAAATCAATTTTCAAAAATATTTCTTATTATATCCGATGTATTTTGTTTAGAAATTTTACCTCAATTAAAATCTATATCAACAATTGATTCAATTTTTATTTATTCTATAAATCAAATAAAATATCAAGAATTAATTAAAGAATATGAATCATTAATAATTAATATTTGTACAAATATTGATGATCTATATAATTGTATTAATAAACAAATAGAAGAATGTGATAAATTAAGATTAGTTTTTCATTTTTTTTCACAAGAACAAAATACAACAAGAGATTTAACTAATGATGCTGCATCATTTCTTTGGTTTCAATTATTTCAAATAATAATAAGTAATTTAAAATGTACAGAAAATGATATGAATATAATGCTTAATTATTGTTCAAAACAATTACAAGAAAATACAAATCAAATAAAAATTTTAACTGAAATTGAAGAATTTCGTCAAAATTATACAAGTGATAATGCTATTTATTGGTATACTAAAGAAACATTTGTTTATCGTCTTCTTAATCGATCGTTACGTACAGAAGATATTGAAGCATTATATATATTTCGATTTTTTATTGCTGATTTATGTCGACAATTAAAATTTGAACATGAAAAATTACAAAAAAAAGAAAATCAATCATCTATTTTAATACTTTATCGTGGTGCACATATTTCAAGTGAAGAATTAAATAATTTAGTTGAAACAATTGGACATTTAACAAGTTTAAATGGTTTTATTTCAACAAGTATAGAAAAAAGTGTTGCTATGAATTTTTTAAAAAAACAAACATCAAGAAAAACAAATATTGAAAAAATTTTATTTATTATTGAAGTTAATATTCAATCTGAATATATAATATGTGCTTATATAAAAGAATTAAGTGCATTACCAGATGAAGAAGAAGTTTTATTTAACATAGGAACTGTATTTTATATTGAAAAAATTATATTTGATACAGATGAAAAAATTTGGAATATTTATATGAAAGCTACTGAAGATGGTCGAAATGCAGCACATGATTATATTGAATTAATTCATCAAGAATTAACAGATACAAATGTATCAGTTATATTTGGACAACTTTTTATTCAAATGGGAAAATATATTATAGCACAAAAATATTTTCTTGATTTACTTGAATATTCAAAAGATTATGATGATAATGATCGAGATTTATTATCTATACGTTATCATTTAGCATTAACTTATAGTTATCAATATGATTTAATTCATGCTGAAAATCTTTTAAAAGAAATTTATAAATATTATAAAATAAATGATATTAATCTTGCTCGTATAGAAAATGGTCTTGGATGGATTTATCATCATAATGGTGAATTAGATGAAGCAATGAAACATTATCAAGCAGCTTTTAATCTTGCTTCTAAACAATTAGAATTAAATCATTTAATTAATGCACAAACATGTAGTCTTCTAGGTGATTGTTATCTTGAAAAATATGATTTTGATCAAGCAGAAATATTTAATAAAAAAGCTTTAGATATTGAACGTTTACGTTTACCTATTAATCATCCACGTATTGGTGTTACACTTAATGATATAGGTGATGTATATCGTAAACGAAAACAAATGCAAATAGCATTAGATTATTATGAACAAGCTGAATCAATTTTTCATCAAAGTTTACCAAAATATCATCCTTATAAAGCTTATTGTTGGTCATGTATGGCTTTTGTCTATCTTTATAATGAAAAAATAGAACAAGCTCAAGAATATCATGAAAAAGCACTTAAAATTTATCGACATGTTTTACCATCTGATCATATAAATATTAAAATAAGTGAAAAAAATTCTCAATGTACAGATTTTCAAAAAATAAATGATGCTTATATTAAAGTTTGTTCACAAGTTTAATAGTTAATTATTATTTTATTTTATTTTTTTGTTTTTTGAATATTATTTAAAAATAAATTTTGTTATTCTTATTAGTATTTAGTAATTATGTAGTTCATTTAGTTTGAATATTAAATCGAAATAAATTATATTTTCAATTTAAAAATAAGATTATTCAATGTTTTACATAAGAAGATAATAAAAGTATTAAAATAAACTTTCATTCGATTTTGTTTTTGTTGATGATGATCATTATAATAGTAATGATTTTCCAATACGAAAATATACATCAACAAAATCTACTTAGGG